CTCATACCAGTTTTTCAAGTGCTTGTAGATAGGAAGACCTCACTTTCCTATAGATAGAGGCACTGATGTAGCTTAGGGTACTTCTACCTCCTTTTGTGCTTCTACTCCATATGGGTCCCTACTTCCAGCCAGTGGCACAAGAAGAGATGCTGTTCTCCTGTGGACAGTGGTAGGGAACTCCATGTGTTATTTACACATACAAATTTGACTTTGCCATGGGGAGAGAAGCAATGCTGAGGACCTTATTCACAGACCTTCCTGTCTTCCCCACTGGTGAGGATGATGCACAGTGGCCACAGAAGTCATAGAATCATCAAGGTTGGAGTAGAGCTCTAAGATCATCAAGTCCAACCATTAACCTGTCACTGCTGTAACTCTTAAACCCTAAACCATATCCTCCAGTGCCAGATCCAGATGCCTCTTAAACACTTCCGGGGATGGTGACTCCACCACCTCCCTGGACAATCTATTCCAGTGCCTGAACACCCTAACAGGGAAAAATATTTTCCTAACATCTAATCTGACTCTCTCCTGTCTCAGCTCATCACCATTCCCTCTAGTCCTCTTCCTGCAGCCATGGCAGGAGAGACATCCCACACCTCTCTACAACCCCTGTCAGGGAGTTGTAGAGAGCCATGAGGTCACCTCTATGCAGATCTGAACCTGGACACTTTCTGGATGAGGTCCTGGGAGTCATCTCACAACTGCTTTCCACAAATTGCTCTCATGAGCCAGAAGGTCCCCTCACAGCTGAGAAACCACCATGGCAATCATCCTCAGATGCACCAAGACAAGGCAGTGAAGCCACTGGCATTAGGAGAGGGCTGGAGAGGAGCCCTTGCCCCATGTGCAGGGCCACTGAGTGCTGGTGCAAGAGGCACTGGCAGGGCAGGCAGAGTGTGGGCTCAGGTGCAGGGAGGGTAATGCACAGCCAGCAAGGCTCATTGCAGAGACCAGCACTGGGTACAGCCCAGTGAGTGTGTACTTCTCAGACATGTAAAACATAGCTGTAAGTGATATATGCATATGTCAACAAATCCCACCTGGCCTGTACTCAGCCATTAGCAGCTGGCAGTTTGCTGTGAGCACAGGTGAATAATGGCTTAGGGGCATGTGCTTTGGGCAAGGTTAAAAGGTGACTCCTGTATGGTGTAAGTGGATTAATATGACTGGACACGATGCTGGCTTCTCCTCTCACTTCTGCCTGTGTAAATCAAGAGTAACTGCACCAAAGTCAATACATGTATTAGATTCATTGGTACACAGGGGCTAAAAAGCACATGATTTTAAAAGAGAGAACATCTCGATTACAAGCTGGAGAACAGAAACAATGAAAAATGTGGCTGTTTTGCATGGCTTCCTGTGGTGCTTTATTATGACTTTGCTCTTTCCATGCAAGCACTATCCCAACAGGTGCCCTCACAGACCTGTCTGCAAGCAGAGCCCTCACTCTCTCCCTTATTATTGCCACTACAGGGAAACCCTGTCTCTGTTCTGGAGAGCAGAGGTCCCTCCTGTGCTGACCTCGTTGCAGAGAAATCCTGGCTCCTGGGAAGGAGATTTAGGAAATGCAATATTAAACACAGACTCAGTGTCTCAAACACCAGTGCACAGAACTGGAGTTATTCCAGTGGTGCAAGTGGAGATGTTGAATACAGCCTGACACGATGAACAGTGATATCATGTACCTGCCTGGCTCCAGCTGAGTGCAACATGAAGGGTGTGAGGATGTTACTCCAGTTCCTCTGTCACACACTCTCAAACAGCTCCTGAGCTGGGCATGAGTTGCACTGGGGAAGAGGCAGCTTATCCCCTCTCCAAAATTCCCCATTTCAAATGCTTTATGTGGCAGAGTTAATCTCTCCTTCCATGCCTTTATGTGTGTTCTGGGGCTGAAAAGTAATCTTGTAGCTGGGTTTTCCAAACAGCCACCTGTCTGCACTGAAACCAGCCCCGTTTCCAACCTGCATCCTGGGGCCCACAGGGAAGCAACGGGTTAGATGGTGAAGCTGCTGAGCTCCAGCCACACCCAGAGGCCCAGGGACAGGCTTCAGTAGAGAAATGCAGCTGAAACTGTCCTCAAATCCTGCCTTACTATTTTTTTGTTAACCTTTTTTGAAAGGAGTGTCTGCTTTTGGGGCTGTCAGCTCAAACAGCCACCTGAGTATGAGAATGTGCTGGAAATGGCATTGCTCATCACAGCACCTCTCACTGCAAGACCTGGTGGCTCCTCCATAGAATCACAGAATGGTTTGAGTTGGAAGGGACCTGAAAGATGATCTAGTTCCAACCACATGGGAAGGGATGCCACCCGGCAAACCGGTTTGCCCAGGGCCCCATCCAACCTGGCCTTGAACACTTCCAAGGATGGAGCATCCATACCTTCTCTGGGCAGTGCTTCACCACCCTTACAGTAAATAGTTTCTTCCTGATATCTAATCTAAACCTACCTGACTAGCCCAGGCTGCCCAAGCCATGCTGCCTTCATTGGGGCTATTAATTGTCCCCCGGCAGTGGGAGACCCAGGGAAGAGAAGCCTTCCCTACAACCACATTTCCTGCCTAGTCTGAGGGAAAAATTATTGGGAAAGGTGAAGGTTCCGCGCGGGGAAGCAAGCGGCCGACTCCGTGTGGGTGATACAGCAAACTCCATCTTTATTGTCCAACAGGCTCTTTCTTATACAGTGCAGGACAGGCATATAACTATCAATCATTTATAATTGGCTAAGGTCTAAAGATAGCATTCAGGTACTCTCCCTACTTGCAGCTGCAGCTGTGAAGATTATCTCTTGCTTTCCCAGGCTTGGGTGCATTCCTAGCTGTTTGTCTCGAACTTGTTTGTCTCACCCTCAAGGACGACTTACCCCTGCCATCTGCCATCTGCCCAGCTGAATTACTCCCTATCTATATATAAGTTACTATCTCCAGAGCCTTCCTTGTACACTGCATTCCCAGGTGCGTTCCCAGGACTGTGTCTGTACGTTCCCAGGGGACTGTGGCCTAGCTCTTTTTGGCCTTCCCCAGGATTATGTCCCCACTCTCTTAGCCATTCTCCAACAAAAAATAATATTTTGCCTCTCCCTCAGTGTTTGGGGAAATCCAGTGGGAATGGTGTCAGGGACATCTGCATTGAAATTTTGTGGCAAGGGAGATGCTCAGAGACTAACAGCCACTGTAAAAACTCCAGTTACAAAATTGCCTTCCAACACATACAGCCCTGCCGTGCAAAAGTAAATGCAAATGTACAAGCAAATTAAAATGCAAATGCAAATGCAAATGCCAGGCCTCCTGGGCTGCACTCACTCAGTGCTACAGAAATCCCTTGACCTCTCAGAAACATTCAGGTTGCTGCAAATATCCTAGTTCAGAGGAAAGAAAAATGCTGCTTTTCAGTCCAGGTTTCTGCCTTTCCTCCCCTATGTGTAAGAGTGGCAGAAGGATTTCTTTGCCCAAAAAGATGATTTCTGCACTGTGTGCACAGCCCTCTCCCAGCTTTGGTGTGCAAAATGCACACTTAGGTTCTTCCTGGCAAATGAGTGATTCATGAATCATAATTGTGGACACTAGAACACCTTTCTCCCTCTGCCAGCATGTATCTGCCATTAAACTGAATGCCTGAGAGACAGTGTGCTCCCTAACACCCACAGTGTTGTTAATAAAAGAAAAGGAAAAATAATTTGAGTCAGGAGGAAGTCTGCAGGTGAAATGAAGGTTCAGGGATGTAATTTGCATCTTTCTTTTGTCTAAACTAGCTTTTGTGATGCCCATAGTAGGGCCCCAGGACAGCTTTCCAGCCACTGATTGCAGATGAGGGCTGCAGGCATGTCTCAGTTCCATGGGGGCTGTGTGGGGCAGCACCCCATCCCAGTGTGCTGGACTGTGGGCAAGAAGGAAGCCCAGGCATGTCACCCACCTGGGAGCCCAGTGCTGCTTGGGGCAGGTGCCTCTCAGGGCCATCACCATCCTTGGGTGCATCTGCCCCAAGCCACAACCCCTCCAGGCTTTGCCTCACACAGTCAAGAACTAAGACAGAATTTTCTGATGTCCACAGTTGTTTTAAGCTAGGAGAAACATTCCTGCACGTAGCAAAGCAAACCCCTTAGCAGTCACAACTCATTTAGGTTTACATTCATGGATGGAGGTGACAGATGGGGATCCAGGCTGAGTGTGCTACAGCTAATATCGTGTACCTCAGGCTTCTGCTAGCAGCCCTGACCTAGCTGCATTGCTGTGAGCAGCTCTCTTCCTTCACTCAGTGAGACATCTCCTTGAGTGAAGGCAGACTGTGCTGCTTGGCAGGTGATCCTGAAAACAAGCAGCATGTGAGTGGGGAAGCACACAGGTAACAAAGTGCTGGGGCAGTGCTGGGTCAGACCAGACTCATTATGACCTGCCACAGACTGGAGTCCACACACTCACCCAGTCTCCCACCTCTCACTGCAGTCAGTGAGATAAGGCAGTGCATGAGCAGAAGGGTGTGGGGACCTGGGACAGACACTGTGTAGTGGGGCTGTAAGCAGAGAGGGCTTAGTAGTCAGTGGGGAAACTTTAGTGACTAATATGGTGGTTGAATTGGATGGAGAGAGAAATTTTCCTTCTAACTTCCTGCCTGCCTGAAACCTGAAGGAGCTTAATCCCTTTGAGGCTTCTACCTGAGGGTCATGTATGCTTGAGGAGGCCAGATGTTATGGGAGAAAAGTGACAGAAACAAGGACAATGGTTGCATACAAATCTTCTTTCCTTAGGAAAAGCCATAAAAGGAACAAAGAGATATAAAATAAAAAATTATCTCTATCACTGCTGGGGCTCCTCAACACAGTGGTTCTCACCCAAAAGTCTCCTCTATAGCCACTGGGAAAAAATCCATCTGCTGCTTCCCTCTGAAGAAGTCCCTCAGAGGCCTGCAGTTCTCCATCATATACAGAACAGCACCAAAAAAAAGAAGACAGTCATTTCCACAGCTCTACAAAATCTTGAGCCCAAGCTGATGGAACAGCCTACCTGCCTCCACCCGCCTGTTTTCATAAACCTCGGGGCTCTCCGACGCGCCGTGGTACTGCTGGAAAGGCTGATTGCTGAAGAGATTGTCACACAGGAGGCTGCGACACAGCTTCTTCAGGAAGCGCAGAACATACCCAATGCTGTTGACTACCAGCAGGCTCTGCAGATGCTGCTTTCCCTCAAAAGAAGCCGAAACTGGAAAGCAAGAAAGAGCAATTCAATACCTGGGAACTCATGGCAGAAGGAAGAATGAGAGCAGGAGAGATGGTATTAGTATTTCTTAAAATATTTTACATTATTACCCCACCCACCTGATGCACACAACAAAGTGGAGTAGCTCAAGGAGCTGAGTTTGTGTGACCCAGATGACCTTCCCCCTGGAGTGCTGAAAGATGCCGACTGGCATGGCTAGCAGTGCAAGGATTTCTAATATATGCATCCATCTGAAAACTGCATTGTGTGCTTGGAAGGAAGCAATTATGATACCTTGGTCTAAGGCAGGGGAAAAAAAGTTATCTGCAGTGATCACTGATGGTGATGGACTATTAGGCTGACTTCAGCAATACCCAAGGTTTTAAAAGATAATGGGGAGATAAGACATGTCTGTGAATGAATAAAAGCTACCAGGGTCGTACTGAAGAGAGAGGTAACAGTTTAATTGTGGATCTCTATTTACTGAGTTAATTACATTTACAGGCAAGGGAAGGTTGGCAGCTGTGGTCTATCTGGAATTCAGTAAAGTATGAGAAACTTTTCATTAAACTGGAAATGACTGCATAAGAAAGGTGGGTCAAGAAATGACAGAGAGGAACTAGCAGCAGTCTGTGATGGCACAAAAAGATTTTGTGGATGCTGCAAACTAGGAGACATTATCAGTGCAGAAGAGGACTGGGAGATGGCACAGAAAGGATTGGCTGATCTTGAGTTCTATGATAGTAAAAATGAGTGGAAAAAATTTCTAGAAAGTACACAGCAAACCATACATTTTTTTTGAGGAGGCACAACGCGACCTGATGGGAGAAGAAATGATGATACAGCCTCACCAGATGCCCATAAGCCACCAAGGTGACATAGTGATGGAAAAGTCAGATATATTTCAAGGAGGTGTTGAACAAATAATTTCCAGGAGAGACAAGGGAGTGTTGATTCCACTCTATAAAGTCATGGCAAAACCTGAGATGGAATCTCCAGATGAAGAGCCTGATAGTGCCTGATGGGCACTATTCTGGTCATGCAGGTGAATTCACACTTGCAGAGGTGCACAGACAGACCAGCAATGTTCAGGGAACAGAAATTTTCCCCGTGGCACTGCAGCCACCACCATCCTGCCATGTGGGACTGTGGCAAGGCACTTGCACTCCTCACTAATCAGTGATCTTCCTCACCAGAAAGAAACTGTATTTCAACCTAGCAGAATGAGGATGGCTCTCTAGAAATACATCTAATATTGTACTCAAGGGTGAGAACAGGGCAATTAAAATTCCAGGGCAAAGCTATCAGGGGATATATTTAGCCAGGAACCAAAAAGGGCATAAGGTCCCAGCCATGGGAGGCATGGAGGGATCACAACAGACCCATCAGGATCAGTTGTAACATTCAATGTCAATAGGTTTGCAGGAAAGGCTACATGATATGGCTGCCTGAACTCCTCCACCTGGAAGGGTTTTTTTCCCCATCCTACAGCCTCCCATCACTACTAAAAAGTATGCATTGCAATGTTCGACTTAGAATTTTGGGGATAACTTCAGAGATTTCCTGTTGGCCTGAGCTGCTGTGAGGGATCATGCTCCACAGCCAGTTGAGCATCTGTGAGCCAAGCCATGGGAATATTGGAAAGCCCATGACAAAATTTGTCTGCATTGCTGCTGGACTGAGACTGAGCTGCAATCACAGAGCCACACATGACTAGGAGGCCATTCACCCCTTCCTTGATGACTAGAAGAAGCATGAAGTTGGGAGCAATGTTGACTGGGTGCTTTTAGCTCGGGTACCTGAAGCTGTGCCAGCTCAGAGGAACTGACACCAAGGAGTTTGGCAGGCTTGTGCATAATGTGACTCTCCTGCTTGTAATGAAAAGCATATATGAAGCACAGAACTAGGCAAAAATGAAGCTTTGCAATAAATTTCTCCAGTCCTATGTTTCTGTGAACAAGTTTGGCTCATTCTCGGGGTATTTCTGATGTCCCTTAGGGAAGGCACACCTGTGATTAGAGAACTAGAGGAGAGGAAAGAAGCAAGATTTATATGCTGCACTGAGGGCCAGAGCCTGGGCTCCCACACAAGAAGGTCCCAATGGCACAGCTGAGCAGCTGCAGTCCCTGCAAAACTGCTTGGACTTGCAGTCCTTGGCTTTGTGTTCGTGCTTGACTCATCTGCAGCAGCTCATTGGAGAGTGCTGTTCCAATATTCCCATCATCGTTTCATTCCCACTGCATCTCCATGTGCCAGAACAGTGCTGTGACACAAAACTCTTGCTGTGATAAAAGAACAGTTCATGTTCACTCTGAGATCCAGGCCAGGGGATTCAGCATGATACACAGGAGACTCATCAGGACACAGGAAGTGTCACTGCAGGAAGATGAGGAGCACCTGGGAAGTTCCCTTTGATCTCTGATTATCTCTGATATATTTGTGTAGTTTTGCTGTATGGGGAATTGCCATGGGACTTTTGCAGTTCCTGCAGCTGAGAGAAGGTTTGACTTGTGAACTGCAGGTGGAGGACACACCAGCAGCAGAACTCTGCCACAGTTGTCTTTAGAGCAACATAGAATCATAGAATGGTTTGGGCTGGGAGAGACCTTTAAAGTTCACTTAGTCCAACCCTTCTACAATGAGCAAGGTCATCTTCAACTATATCAGATTGCTCCAAGGCTCATCCAACCTGGTCCTTATGGGATGGGACATTCACCACCTCTCTGGGCAACCTGTTTCAGCGTTTTACCACCCTCACTGCATGAGGCATGTGTGTGTACTTGTGGTGGCAATGTGTGTCATGAAGTGGGCTGGCATTGCTGCTCATCCTTGTATGGCTGCATGAAAACCTCAGCTCATAGCCCTGGCCTCAGCATTGTTCCAGAGAGCAGTAAGTGCCAGACTCTGGAGCTAGCCCTGTTCCTCCCCTGCATCACCACTGAAATAGTCTTTATTGATATTCTTTCATCTGACACCAAGGCAATTCCTGCAGCAGCTCATTTCACAAAGGCACAAGTGATGTTCAAAGCTGGTTACCAGCCCACTGACGTCAATGGGACATCCAGAGCAGTCAAGACTGGGGATCAGGTTAAGATTTCAAGCAGTTCCCTACTGGCCACAAACCCCTTACAAAGATGCTTTACCTGACACCATCTCGCCTCCATAGCCCTGCCTGATGAGGGAGAAGACTGCCTTTTGCTGGAGTGCACAGTCAATGCAGGCTTGCACTGCCTGCTGCAGGGCTGCCGACGGTCGCTCCGGCCCAAAGTGCTCTGGCAGCTGCTGCACCTTTTTCCTGTCAAGGTACGGCCCCAGGTTCGCTTGCTTGTTGACATAAATGCAGACTGTAGACACAAAATCCCAACAAGGTTATTACAAAATGGTCCTGAGAGCATCCTAGCAAATGCTAGCATTATACACTTCTATTTATACCCCAAGTTCTTCCATTCACTGGTGAATTGTTGCCATTTGTTGCCATTTGTGATGGCAAAGCCAGGCTTCCTCCCACTGACCACACATTGACAAAGCAAAGCAAGCTGAGTTTAGGTCTAGCTCAGTGTCACAGGCTAGGATAGGCTACATGCATCAAAAGAAGCTCCTGTGTGTGCCTGAGGTCGGCTCTCTTGGGTCTACCTTGTCCATGCAGCTGGTGACCAGAAAAATGCCCTGAGAGTGCAGGGCAGTGACTAGCAAGAGTAACCTTACAGCAAGGGTTAAATGCCAGCCTGAGATGTGCTTTAGGGTTGTTTATTTTTTCCTCTGTGTTTTTATACTCATTCATCGAGAGCCACTCCAAGAAGCACTGCTCCATGATGAGTTTTGGAAGACTTTGGATCCTTGCTTCTTCTGACCCTAATCCAGCTGTAATTTCTGAAGGGTTATGCTGCACTGAGCTGCACAGTGCCACAGCAGAGACTCTAGTCTTTGGGAGCTTCATGACCCACCATGTCCAACCCAGCACTCTGCAAGTTGCATCCCCTTGAGGGAAACTGTACATGATGTGCAGCGCTGCATCCCTGTTTGGGACCACAGCAGTGTGACTGTGCCACACAGAGAGTCTGCAAGGTGTTCTGCTCCAGCCTCTCCACAGCCAAGCCCTGCATGCCTCCTCTCATAAGCCATTGCCTGAAAAGGCAATTTTTCTACATGCTATCAGATCTGCCAGCAATAGCCAAAAAATCAGTGTTCTCCGCACTACCATGAACTTATTTTAAGCTTGGCTGAGGCTAACTGTGTCTTGGAGGAAGCAGAGATAACACTGTGGTAACTAAGGGCGACTAAGACACAGCCTAAAGTCAGGCTAAAGTGAGACATATTATAATAGCTGGCTGAGTGTGCTCGAGCTGTCATCTCTCAAACAATATAACATTATCCTCTGACAGAAATCAGATATGTGACAAAAAAACCCCATCAAGCGGAGTGGAGGACATGATGACAGCTGTGTAAAGTTGGAAATAATTTACAGTTTGCATCACCATAATGAAAATCTACTGCGACTGTCACGGTGCACTTTGCTACCCCATCTCTCAGGGAATGGCAGAAGGGGCTCCAGCAGTATATCCTGAGTAAATAGGAGGATAATAGCAATCATACTTATCATCACATACCACTTTACACCTTCCAAGTGCCAAACAAACAAAGGGACAGTGCAAAGGATACAGCAGCTGCATGCATGAATCGCAGGGGGGTGTCAGGGTGCAGCTTTCCCAGTGTACCACACCTTGACAAATCTGCAACGTGTGACTTCTGCCATGACAATCCACTGGTTTTGTCAGGGCTTGGCTGTGGGATGGACTGCAGCCTGCAGACAGTGTGCTGAGTCCCTCACCAGGGAGCAGGGATCCCTATGGTACTTTTGCTGAGGATACAGAGGTAAAACCCAGCTTGAGCTTGCCTCCATCTCCTTCAAACCCTGCTCTGGTGGAAGCCTACACACACCATTTGGAAGAACTGGGAGAACAGGTGCCAGTGGCATGGGGATGGGCAGACAGGTGTGGGGCACTGCATCCACAGAGCCTGAATGACCCATAGAGCCTCTGTGGCCACCCTGGTGATCTGATAGGGCTGGTGGACTGTGCCTCCCTGTCCCCCTCCAAAAGTGGCCCTGGGCACACCTCTCAGGGCAGTGCTATGAAACACCACTCAGTCGATGTTTGCCAAGTGCTTTGCAGACTTTGCATGTGAAGGGATAAATGAGAATAAAATATATTATTATCGTCATTGTCACTACGTTTAGCATCATTCTGCTACCAGAGCAGATGGAAAACTTCTCCTCTGTGCATCCCAGCTAAGAAATAATGGGATTTATGTGTTGTGTTTAGATTCTAATGTTATCTAATCCATTTCTCTGCCGAAATCTCAGGGTAAATCAACTGTCTTGTTGAGTTTCTTCTCATTTACATCAGTTTGAAAGCACTGACCTATGTTACTTCTGGCAATATAAACACAAAAAAGAACAAGGCTGTGTTTTCTGACTGCATTCAGAAATGACCACGTCTGCTGCTGTGATAAGGCACTGGGGTTTATGTGCTAGTAACCCTGCCTACTGTCAGACCACAGCTCCTCCATTCTCCTTCTCCCCACAGCTGTAACAGATGCTTCATGTTCACACAGGGATTTAGTCTGGTCATTGCAACATATTTGATGGGGTGAGTGTTGGGGTATAAAATGGAGCATCCGTGGGCTTTTGATGTTCACATTTCAAGAGGAATGGAACTGACATCTCCACTAAACTTGGCACATGGCAGTCAAAATAGAGCCTTGCAGGACACCTCTGCTCCTTGTCACTGGTCACCAGACTAATCTGCAAACACCCCATTTTCATGAACTCCACCTGTACTGGAAAGCACAGCTGTCAGCCCTGTGGCTCCTGCTCACCCCTTGGCCAAGGAGCACTTGAAGCTGAGTACCTGTGAGAGCCTGTGGGGTGTCTGAGTTGGGTATGGTAGCTGCATCCTGGGGGATTGAGCTAATATCCGGCTCCGGCGTGCTTCTCGGCGGAGAGTTTGCTAAGGGAGTCATCAGGACACGAGACTTCAGCTGCAAAAAATAATGAAAGTATACACAATATATTCCAATTTTATTCCATGTATGTCACGCCCCATGAACTCCCACTCATTAGCAATCTGCTATTGCATCACTTTCTCCAGGCCAGGAGCATCCGTTCTGCTCCCGGGAGGATACTGGAGCCTGAAGCCTGACTGATTTGCAGCAGACAGCAACGCCTTAAGTTGCAGGATGCAAATATTATGCCACCCACAGGGTAGTTATTTACACCTGAGCAAATTGAGTCTAACACTCTAACAAATCAGCCCAATGACATTTTATGACCCATTTCATGTGGGTGTAAACAATGCTCTGCAACTCAGAAACATGGGGTCTTTAACTACATCATAATTTAGGGCCAAATTCTGCTCTTGGTTACAGGGGTGTAAATCTTGTGTAAATCCAGTGGCACCAAGAGGCTACTCTGGGCTGACACCCATGTAAATAAGCTCAGACCGTGGTCTGTAGTGTGTTATTACCAGGTAGTAAATACAAACTGCTGCACTGTTGCACCCAGTGATCTTTGTGACCTGCAGCCCAGGATTGAGAAGTGAAACACGATAGGAATTTACAGTGAAATATTGCTATGCCTTTATCCTGCTAGTACCTGGTAACATCTAACCAGTCAAATGATAATCAGTTCCTCAAATTTACAAAGGGATGATGCGATGGATATGACCCAAAGGTACCACTCTTGCTTTTGCTTTGCTAGGAAGGGAAGCAGGAGGAAAGCAGAGAGCCAAGCACACAGCTGGCTGGTTTATATATCTACATAGACTACACTGAGCTGTTCTTTCCACAAGTGATTTTGTTGCTGTTCTTTTTCAGTGAACGAAATTTAAAATGCTCTAAGTGATATGCACAAGAATGAAAAGGAATCTTTAGCCCTGTTAAGTCTGCAGAGTATTGCTTCTCTCGGAGATTATACCCAAGCTGGGCATAATGTACAAAGTATATTTTAAGTAGAAATTAAGTCAGACCATTGCCTACAAATGAAACTCTGAGCAATCCCTGGTAGAGAGCAGAAGTTGTTTTGGATAAAGATTCATGTTGTCCATGA